GTAGATTTTAGTCCATGCTAGGTTGTTCTTGTTACTTTTGTATCTACAGAGGAGCAGCATATCATGACAGGGTACCCAGTGGAGCATAATGCTCACCTCTTGGACCAAAAGTGAAAAAGACGAAGCATTCCCTCCAAGAGGCTATTTCAGTGTGCTGAGAACCTCCCACTAGATCCCACCTTTCAAAGATTCTAGCTTGCTCCAACATTACCACATTGAAAAACAATCCTTTAGGAAACATATACACTCCAAACAATGGCATATGGTATCTAATCTATATAGACATATAAATTAGGGTTGTCTGAACCCCCATGCCCCTGAGATTTCAGATTGCAATTTTTATAGAGTACAATTGTAAGATGACATTATTGTTTAAAAAAAAACCCTACCATTAATATGCCATAGATTAAAATTTCTTCCCCCCAATAGCTGATGTAGTTGATATGCTGTGTACAAGTACACACACACATGGGCATGCCCCCAGAGAAATACATGCGTGTGTGCGTGCACTTATTAATGGAATTTATAAATTTGTATCTTTCTAGAATTTATTGACAAAACATGCTTTGGAAGTCTTCTGAAAACTATAGACTCCAAGTTGATATAAAAACACATGAAAGGCTATCTCCAAATGGTGATGTTTGTCTGAGAATGGCAATTATATTAATAAAATAGCATATATTAATGAAATAGTGAATATATTAACATAATTAATAATATTAATTATATAATATAACAAATATAAATAGAGTAAATATTATTATAGTAATATTAATTATATTAATAAAATAGTAATAAAATTCATTATTTTATATTAATAAAGATAGTGAAATATATAAATAGTGAAATATATAATATAAAAAAATTATATTAATAAAAATGATTAATATAAAATAGTGAATAGATGTAAACATTTCATCTAATATATGAGGCAAGCAGTCTATGGCGTTTCTAGTGAAAACTGTAGAGGACTTCCTTTTTTCTGTAGATTAGCAGTCATAGGGCAGCGTGGAAATATTCTGTGGTGCTGTCAAGAGTGGACTCCTTTTCTTGAGGGTGATCCTAGAAGCAAATGGAAGGCAACAGTAGTGATTTCTAACCTGTTACTTACTGGGGTCAGTTTATGGATGATTCATCTCATGACTGAGCCCAGACCCAGAAAGATGTAATGAAGAAAAATATGAAATTGTGAGAACTTGGCTCAGCTTCTTATTCTAGGAAAATAAGACCAATTATATCTAAATTAACTCTGGTCCTAATGTTTTTTATGATAATTGAGCTATTTTCTACAATTAAATGGTAGTTTGCCCTATCATGAACTGTTTTTGGTAATTTGCAGTATGATCATGACTCAAGGACAAAGTCACCCAGAAATTGAAGTTACAGTAAACTAGAGTCTACATATTGAAACAGGGCAAAGAAACACTCCAAGGGGAAAGTTTTTCGAAGCTCCAAAATGTGCCTTCCTCTTTTCATGACAATCTATTAGGGAAAAATGGAACATGGGGAATACACTGTTTCCTTACACTCTGGTGCAGCTGCAGTAAAGAGAGCAGACATAAGTGACATTTAACATGTCACTAAAGGACATTTTATTGGAAAAAAATCTTGACCATTAAGTAGCAGTAACATCCTGGGCACATTAAACTTCTTTTCATGTCTTTGATTTTCCTCTGGAAAGTGGGAAATCACTAGCTCCACCAATTTCTAGATACAGAGAGGCAAGAAAGTTCAAATTATAAGCCATTTTCATCAGAGGAAAAAAAAAACTGCTTCTAGATTAATAAGCAACTTGACAAGGTCCAAGTGTTTAGAGAATTTTTAAATTAGAACGACCTTAAAGTAAAGACTTCCTCATTTACTTCTTGGTTCACTTTAGGTCAACAGATATGAACTATGACCAAGCACTTTGGAAATTTTAGAGTTTTAGCTATTTAGCAATAAGTAATATCTAGTCTTTGATTTAGTAGCGTCTAAACATGGTGGGACACACAGAGCCGAGGTGATGTCTGTGACAAAGTGGTAAAAGGTGTGATTGATGTTTATATCAAAATCTCTAGTTTTAACCAAGAGTAAACAATTGAAGCTATTCTAAATTAAAATTCCAGTCCCAGGATTCTGAAAGGGCTGGGCAGCCATGTACACGGCTTAAGAAGCTACAGAAGCAGTTCAAACAATGTGCCTTGATAGGCTTATTATTTTTACTAAGCTCTAGAAACCACAGTTTGCATGAAGCACTAACATCATAAATTCCAGCTCCTCAATGGTGGCTACAATCACATCCAGAGTGGGGTGGTGTTTGCACAGCTGCCTTTCTTCATTGAGTGTGGATTGTTTCCTCTGCCTGCTCCTTTTTATTGCCAGTTGCCAATTTTATCTCAGATAGCTGTATCTGATTCACTATATTAAAACTTTGTCTCTCTCTTATCTATAAGGCCAGACAAGATAGCAAGATATGTTAAATTTACCTCCAGTACTGGGGTATGTAGACAAAGGAAACGAGGAGAATTGAAACTTTAATGGAGTGTATCTGTGTCTTTTGGTTGTTATTTTGAGGGACTTTTGTTTTATTCTTAATCTTTGAGTAGCTCATCCAGTGAATAAGTATATGCTGGGGGAATCAGCATTGCATTATAGTGAAGGCAAGGGGCCAGAAGTCCATGTGGGCATATATCAGATCTGGCTTGTAAGGAACTAGGCTTCATAACAGCAGGCTTTTTTGAGCTCTAAATAGTGTGATGCCCTTTGGTGAGTGATTCTTGGTGAACAAACAACAGTCTATTTTCCCTCCCTGTGATCCCTGCAGGTCCATTGGCCCATTTGGCATCTCCATGACCTACAGTGAAGATTATGGAATAGTTAGTCCTTAAATAGCCCTCCCAAAAGCCCCTGCAAAGGCTGGGTATGCCGTGTGTGGCTAGTCTCAGAAGGCCTGCACCCGACACACATTTTCACCTGTGCATACTGGTGTGTTTCCAAGAAAGCCCAGTAAAAGTCTTCTTAGCCTTGGTTTCCTCCTCCTACCCACTGGGATAAAAAGGGGCTGGCTTCCCTATTTTTCTCAAGAAAAAAACAAAAACAAAAACAAAAAACCTATCTCTATACCAGGAAGTAATGTTTTTGTATATTTCAATTTTCTTTGATTTTACTAATAAAATGAAAGCAGCTTGGAGAAACACACACAAAGCACTAACTCACAAGTCCATGTTAGTGCAAGGAGTTAGGAAGGGAGCATGGAAGGGGTGAAAGGTCAAAAGAGATTTTCTTAAAGGAGTAACTCTGTCTCTGACATGAACTCAGTGGTGGGCTCTTTGATAACCTCCCACTGAGGGGGAAGCAGCCTTACCAGGCCACAGGGGAGGACAATGCAGCCAGTCCTGATGAGATCTGATAAACTAGGGTCAGATGGAAGGGGAGGAGGACCTCCCCTATCAGTGGACTTGGAGAGCGGTATGGGAAGAGATGAGGGAGGGAGTATGGGATTGGGACAGCATGAGGGAAGGGGCTACAGCTGGGATACAAAGTGAATAAACTGTAATTAATATAAAAATTAAAATTTAATTTAAAAAAAGAGGTAACCCTAATCTCTATGTGTGGCGGATGGATGGTGCATCTAATTTAGGTAGCTTTAATTATTATTGTTGGCCTATGGAGACGATTGTACCGTGCTATTAGAAACAGGGAGGGGAATGCTGTCATTACAGCCAGACAATACTTACCTTTACCAGGTTGCCTTTGTGTCTGATGGCCCGTCACTGAGTGAGTCACACAGTCAGGATCTGACTCACTTCCTCCTCCACCGTTGACAGCCAGAGACAGCTGAGCATGCGAAGATTCAGAGTCCAACTCGGAGACTGATATAGACAACTACTAAGTGCTGAGAATTTCCTTTCCTGGGTAAGGGAAAGCAGTGATTAAGGAGAGTTTTAAAGAACCTGCAAGGTTTTAGATTCAGACCCAAGAGATTAGGTTATAGTGGAGGACTAAAGAACTGTGGGACAGAGAGAGGAAAGTAGGGAAAGGAAGATTCTCTTCTAGGTCATCCCTCTGCTTGGTTTGATGAATCCCCATGTTATGCTTTTAAATATAGATCAAGCTGATGCTTACTTCTTTCTCATTTTTCTGGGTTGTGTTTCACAGGAAACACAAGGTTTAGTTTGAGTTGTATGAAAAATTGGGTAAAACATTTATCTTAGTTTTATATTCTTAAAAACTTTCCTGCTAATACTGCATAGTAAAACAGTTAATACATCATTTTTTAACCTACACTTTTCCCTGTTCATTTTCTTTCTCCTGAATTCTAAACAACTGGGAATAATGCTGGAATTTGCAGAAGAAATAAATCAACCCAGAATGGAAAGGGGGGGTTCATTTCACTCATAGTTTAAAAAACTTAATTATAAGTATAGTATTAAAAAGAAAGTAAGAAAGTTAGGAAAACAAAGGATCAAAACATCCCCACATGTCTTCAGCATCTCCAAGTGATAAGAAAAATGCTGATGTAAGAGGAACTGAGGCCCTCTCTGGCCTCACCTCTGCTCTTCCATTCACCTGCTTCCCCAGGCACAGAGGTGCCCACACCTCTGAATCACCCAAAGAGAATCTGGCCAGGCAGGTTCTACAGCTCCAAGAACATTTGTTTGCACAAAGAATTTTCATTTCCTGCTAATACTGAAGGAGACTGAGTTTTTTGGCAAACATCTCACCACCACTTTAATTTCCTTTAATGGAAAGAGGCCTTAGGTCCAGTCTGCTCTTAGATGCACCCTCTCCTCTCCTTTCCAACCCCAACCCCCATCCTCGCCCAATCCCACACTGCTTTTTCAACAGCTTCCATTTTCTTAGAGTGAAACTCTCACCATCTCCCTGAGTTTCGGGTGCGGAGGCTGAATTATGGGTATTGTAGTTCTCTTGCCTTCCAGAGTTTCTGGTTGGGCAGCATCTTGTCACATTGGTAGGGATTTGAATAGCAGCTAGCTCTGTCAGGAAGAGGGCAAGTGCTGCAGATCACCAAGACTGGCATGTGCCTAAGCTGAAGAAATCGGACTCATTTCCGCAGATGTGAGTGTTACTTTTTAAACATAATATTCCTTTCATTGTTGATATGTGCTACACACTGGAAAGTTACATGATTTTCAGAAGCATTAATTAATGGAGTGATCTAAGCTCTGCTTGAGAAAAATGGGAGGTAACTTATTAAAAAAAACTTGTGGGACAGAGCTAGAACAACACTTTGAGATATGGTTTAAAATTGTTTTTAAAAGGAGGAACGTACAACATGAAGAGCAAATTGTAAAACAAAAACAAAGAAAGGAAAAAACAACAACAATAATCTCCCTTTAACCTGGCTCAGTGTGTATGTGGTTAAAGCCTCTGAAGATACTATTTTAAAAGGCATATGATCTGCTTGTGTTAAAAAGATTGAGCTTAGGAATCCAGTGGAGTTGGATTGACCCAAAGTACAGAGTGTTTCCCCTTGTGAAGCCTCAGTTTCCTCATCTGTAAAGTGCACTTAGTCTACCACACAGCATTATCTTGTACTTAACACATGCTTGGCAGTTCCTGGCAGAGGTGACTTAACATAATCTAAATTGTCAATTAAGTTTTAGGAACTGATCAAAGACACACACACACACACACACACACACACACACACACAAAAGATTCAGATTATATAAGGTATCTCTAGTTTAGTCAGTTTCACAAAAACAGAAAGTAGAATAGTGGTTGTCAGGGTCTGGGAGAAAGAGGAAGTAGGAGTTGTTTTATGGGTGTAGAGCTTTAGTTTTGCACAATGGAACCATTCTGGAGATGGTTTCTGCAAGTGTATAAATTTAGTTGATGTTATTTTACTTTCTATTTATGAATAGGATGTTGTTGTTATGTTATACTTTTCCACAATAAAATGACCAAAAGGAATGTAGTAAAAAAAAATATATGATGCCTTCCATTTATTAAGCTACTATTGACTCCTTGAAACACATCTGTATTCATTGTGCCCAATTTCAGGTTAACCCTGAGCAGCCCGAGCTAGGGTGTTGTGTGTACACCAGAACAGTTAAGAGCCAACAGTGATGTACTTCAGACATGTTTTTAAAGTTCTCTAGATATTAGTGGTGATCTTTTTATGCCCTCCTTTACATAAATATATGATTTCCTTTAACTCATAATAATGATTTTCTCAGGATATCAAAGGTAGTGTACAGAGCCTACAAATTATGAAGTTGTATTAATTACTACAACAGACTTGTAAGCTTTAGTTATAATTCATAACACTTAAAACAAATGCATTATTAATTCATTTTCTCCTTCCCTGTAGCTAATTTTTAAGCAGAATTTTTTTTTACCTGTCTGCGCCTTAGAAATAAAGACTGTTAAGCCAGAGCTTATTAACAGTAATCTTATGTTTACATGTAATAGCTAAGTTGAAAGATAAAATATAGTTTGAAATTATATTGAACTTGGATGTGTGATTATTTAATTTTTAGGAAGCCCTTTCTTAAAAGACCCAGGTATGCCCTGCTATATTTGAACAGATTTTTTTGGTGACCCCTGCAGGTAACAACCAGTATTTTTTATGACATATGTTGTGCAAATGTAAACTCTTTAGGAGCTATGAAAAAAACATAATGAAATTATAGTTGTTGTTATGCTTTGTAAGTACTGACTGTATGTTGCACAGTCACTAATAGAAGTTACCCATTGTCTGGTTCCTGGAAAGAAGTGTCATTTATTTGTTTAATAAATGTTTCTAGCATTGTTTCAATACTTTCCAGCAGGGCTAGGCCTGGAGGCTATAAGAATGTCTCTGGCAAGCCTCATCTATTCCAGAAGATGTTATTCGATATAGTTAGCAGAAGGAAGGGCTCGCCGGTTGGTTCCCCGGGGCTGCTCAAGGAGTCACTACGACTAATCCCACTGCATGGAAAGTGTGATGGTCAGATTCATGGAATTAAGAAGCAGCTTCTCTAAGTCTTTATTTTGAATTGAAGGCACTGGAGGCTAGAAAAGTGAATGAGTGAAGGAACCATTCAAAAGCAGAACAAAAAGTTAAAGGAAGGGCTTCCTAAAAATTAAATAATAACACATTCAAGTTCAATATAATTTCAAACTATATTTTATCTTTCAACTTAGCTGTTACATGTAAACATAAGACTACTGTTGATAAGCACTGGCTCAATAATCTTGCCCAGAATGCTTTAAGAAGCAGCAGTAACAAACTTCTAGAGGATACTGAGGTAAGTGATGGACCATTACCTGGGTCTAGAAGGATACACAAAGTTGAGCTCTTCAGAGAAAGATGACAAGATTATTGTATGCACAGCAGCAGTTTCCAGACTTTGCATCCATGAAATTATTTTAGGCAAGATATTCTCAATTTCTTATGGAAAAACAAAAAAACCCAGAATTTCTAAAAAACAACCCTGTACATCAACAGATTGTCTAGAGGTATCTCCATCCCTGATCTCAAGCTGTACTACCGAGCAATAGTAATAAAAACTGCATGGTACTGGCATAGAAACAGAATGCATCCAGAAGATAGCATGCAGGTGAGGAGAACATAGAGAGCATAAATGGGAACTCATGAAAACAAACTGATAATTTAAGCATGAATAATGAGGAGTCCAACAGAAAAGGAGAGTGGCACAGGTATATGTACACACCTTTACATGAAGATGTACACACATGTGAAGGCCAGGCTTTGGCAATGGTTGTCTGCCTTTATCATTTTCTGCCTCATTTTCCGAGACTAAATCTCCCACTGAACCTGGTGCTCACTGATTTGGTAAAGTGCTTAATATACAAGTACAAAAACCTGTTCCACAGTTACTGCCTACTAGGGGATGCAGAGACAGGCAGATCTTACAGAGCTTACAGGCCAAACAGTCTGGCCAAATCAGTACACACGTGTACATGTGCTCCCTGCCCCCACATACACACACACTCGTGGAAAAATTGAGAACATAATCATTCTATAAAAACATTGAGCAATAATGACAATCAAAGTTTTCAAGCTTGACAGCCTAAGAGAGTGCCAGTAACACCTTGGGCCATTGGAAATTGAGAGAAAGGGAAACTACATTGTTCATCAAGAGAAAAGTTAGTTATAGAGCAGCCAGAAGCATGGCAGGAACAGCAAATGCTATCCAAAAGAACAAGAACTAGCCCCAGTCTTCATCCTGTCCCACTCAGGCTCTTGGGGAGGAAAACTGAAAAAAAGAACCTCAGGTGCAAAGCGGATTAAGGAAGCTAGTGGAAAGACATGCCAACTTTATTTAATGATTGACTTTCTCTTGGGGTTCTCTCTTGGTAACTATAATCATCTTGCTCAGAAGTCAATTATGGTTCATTATCTGGGATAAAATAAAGATTTATTTCTCATAACAAATTGGAATGTTTTCATCTCAAACCAAGAGATGGGTTTTGGTGGTGGTGGTGTTTTTTGTTTGTTTGCTTGTTTGTTTGTTTTTTCAGGAAGAAGAATATTGTACATTTTCTAAAACAGAAATTAATTAAAATGTTTCTCTAACACACAGGATATTTGACTATAGCCATCACAAAGATTTGTGTATTTAAGTCCCTGATTCAGAAATGAATAAGATTAAAGATAAAAGAAAAAAAAAAGAAGTATTCCTTAAGCCTAGTTTCCTCCAAAATCAAAGATATTGCTATCCTGTGTGCAGATCCCTGGATATTTTTGTCTTATCATTTTTAAAAGTTTTATTCTCTCCACTGCTATGTGAGCATACCTACAAGCAATGTACAGCATTGCCTTGGATGCTTAGGCAGACATTAAAGTCTGAATTATTCATTTATGACTCCCTCTTTTCTCTCAACATTATACACTGTGAGAGCAATCTAGATTGATCCTCACAGAATGACCTATTAATTCCTACAAGTTCATTTTATTATAATGAATGAAATTGTAAGACACTCTATCACATTATCTTACAAACTTCAGAATCACCCTAGAGAATGTTTCTAGAAGTGGAGTTGTTGAGCCAGAGGTCTATTTGTCTTGTTTTATGAGATACTGAGGAACTGTGTTCCAACATGTTTATACTATACTGTTTCCCCAGCCAAAATCAGATTTCCTGTTTATTCCCGTTATGGTCAAGCTTGTTGATAAAATAAAATCAAATAATTTTCCTGGAGATGAAGGAAAGTGAGACACTCCTGTTATCTTGGAGGTTCTGATATTTTTGAAATATTTTTTTGAGACAGGTTTCTCTGTGCAACAAGATCCCTGGCTGCCCTGGACTTGCTTCGTAGACAAGGCTGACCTTGAAGCCACAGACTCCACCTGCCTTTGCCTTCCAAGTGTTGGGATTAAAAGGGTGTGCCACTATGCCTAGGGCTCCTTTCTTAGCTGATGCTGCAAGAGATTGACTTTTCCTTTAAATGACATTTAGTTGTGTTTTAATTCAATTAATAGAAATCATGATAATGATATTAATAATAATGTCTGACTTTACTAAAATATTTACATATACAGATACTGTATTAAATGCTTTACTTCATTTAGCTAATTTTTGAGGGGCAGATGGTAGTTTTTTTTTAATTAATTACACTTTATTCATTTTGTATTCCCCCATAAGCCCCTCCCTCCTTCCCTCCCGATCCCACCCTCCCTCCCCTTTCCCATGCATGCCACTCCCCAAGTCCACTGATAGAGGAGGTTCTCCTCTCCTTTCTGGTCTTAGTCTATCAGTTCTCATCAAAAGTGGCTGCATTGTCCTCTACTGTGGCCTGGTAAGGCTGCTCCCCCTCAGGGGGAGGTGATCAAAGAGCAGGCCAATCAGATTATGTCAGAGGCAGTCCCTCTTCCCATTACTATGTAACGCACTTGGACACTGAACTGCCATGGGCTACATCTGTGCAGGGGTTCTAGGTTATCTCCATGAATAGTCCTTGGTTGGAGTGTGAGTCTCTGGGAAGTTCCCTGTGTTCAAATTTTCTTGTTCTGTTGCTCTCCTTGTGGAGTTCCTGTCCTCTCCAGCTCTTACTATTTCCCACTTCTTACATAAAATTCCATTCACTCTGCCCAACAGTTGGCCATC